TTCAGTGGGCTTGGGCTTACCATAGGAATGCACAGACCTGGATTCAAATACCTGTTCTACCTGAGCCAGGTCACTTGGCCTCTTTTTTTTTTTCTTTTAGAGAATTTATTTTTGGGGTGCCTAGGTGGCTCAGTGGGTTAAGCCTCTACCTTCAGCTCAGGTCGTGAACTGCTCAGCAGGGAGCCTGCTTCCCCCTCTCTCTCTGCCTTTCTGCCTGCTTACGATCTCTCTCTGTCAAATAAATAAAATTAAAAAAAAAGAATTTATTTTTAAGGGGTGCCTGGGTGGCTCAATTGGTTGAGAGTCTGCCTTTGGCTCAGGTCATGATCCCAGGGTCCTGGGATTGAGCCCCACATTGGGTTCCCTGCTCAGCAGGTAGCCTCCTCTCCCTCTCCCTCTACTGCTCCCCCTCCTTGTGCTCTCTTGTACTGTCAAATAAATAAATAAAAAATCTAAAAAAAAAAAGAAAAAAGAATTTATTTTCAAGTAATCTCCACACCCAATGTGGGGCTCGAAGTCACAACCCCAAGATCAAGAGTCTCATGTTCCACTCACTGAGCCAGCCAGGTGTCCCTCCCTCCTCTTCTTTTTTTTTTTTTTTTTTTTAAAGATTATTTATTTATTTGACAGAGAGAGAGAGATCACAAGTAGGCAAAGAGGCAGGCAGAAGGGGAGGGGAAGCAGGCTCCCTGCTGAGCAGGGATCCTGATGTGATGTGGGATTTGGGGCTCGATCCCAGGACCTGAGATCATGACCTGAGCTGAAGGCAGAGGCTTAACCCACTGAGCCACCCAGGCACCCCCCTCCTTTTTTTTTTAAGTGATTTCTTGGGCCAACATGGGGCTTGAACTCATGACCCCAAGGTCAAGAGTTATGTATGCTCTATGGATGGAGCCAGTCAGGTGCCCTGCACCCGGCCTCTTTGAACTTTAATTTCCTCATTTGGAAAATGGGGGGTGATGATAATATGCACCTTGCAGGACAGCTTTGATAAGTCCCTTGCAGATAGCAGGTGCTCAGTAAATGGGACCGTTGTTCTGTAACACAAGCATTAACTGGGGAAGCTACTCTGTTGCTGCTGTCAAATAAGAGACCTCCTTCCTGCTCCCCATGTATTCCAAGGCCAGACAGACCAGATTTGGGGTAGACTCTTCTTTTGGACCATGGGGTTAGTCTGGGAAGACTTCCTGGAGGAGGTGAGTTTGAGGTCGGGTGAGGAGAATGGGAGAGATAAGAGTGAGGAACAAGGGCAGTAGGGGGTCCAAGGTGTGGGAGCTCATGGACAGACGGTGTGAAGTTTCTGGGCAGATTCTGTGTCCATGTGAGCACCTATATCAGGGTGCTGGGCCCTGGGGAGGCTCAGTGGGCTGGGGCCAAGTGGCTCAGAGCCATGCCTGTCTTGGTCCCTAGGACTGTGCCCGGGGCACTGCCAGCTGCGTGGTGTTCAGCTGCCCTCTCTACAGCTTTGACCGCGCTGCTGTGCTGCATGTCTGGGGCCGCCTCTGGAATAGCACCTTCTTGGAGGTAAGAGCACCGTGGTCGTGGGGCTGGCATCTTCTTCCCCAGACCCACTTCTCTTTCTGCCTTCTCCTTGTCTGAATGCAGCACCCTCTTAACCCAAGACAGGCAGAAATGCCCTCTGTGTTGGGCATGATTCCACTTACAGTTTTGGGAGCTGGGGTGAGGGGCCCTGGAGCATTGAGGAGAAGGCGGTCCTCCTCTGCTCCCATAGGAGTACTCAGCTGTGAAGTCCCTGGAAGTCATCGTCCGAGCCAACATCACTGTGAAGTCTTCTATCAAGAACTTGCTGCTCAGAGATGCCTCCACAGTGGTGAGCTGCGGGCCTGGGCATGTTGGTGTGGGGAAGCTCTTCTTTCCCTCTGCTCCAGCCCCTGTTCCCTTAACTCTTCATTCCCCAGATCCCCGTGATGGTTTACCTGGACCCTGTGGCTGTGGTGTCAGAAGGAGTCCCCTGGTGGGTCATCCTCCTGGCCGTCCTGGCCGGGCTGCTGGTGCTGGCGCTGTTGGTGCTTCTCATGTGGAAGGTGAGGCTTGGGGCTGGGGATGCTGGGCTCCCTTGGCTGGCTGCGGGCCTTTCATGCTACGCTTCTCTGTCCCACCCGCTCTCTCATTTCTTTGGCCCACCTGCACCAAACACTTGTATGTCCCAGGGACTCTGTTGGGCTTTGGATGATTCAGAGAGAAGTCAGATGCAGATCTGATCCTCTGGGAGTTGATAGTCTAGTGGGGGTGGCGAGCTCTGTAGGAAGGACCAGGCAGAAGGCACTAAGGCAGGAGAGAGCCATGGGAGTTCAGAGGTGAGAAAGCTGGAGATCATGGGGCTTAGCAGAAGGTGGGGTCATAGGATCTGGAGGTGGGAGATGAGGTGGGTGGGACCGTGGGAGGCAGAGCCATGGAGGCGGGGGAGTGGGGTCTGATTTAACCAGAGCATGGCAGGGAAGGCTGGGAAGGAAATTGTGACAAAGAAGACACAACAGCGCAGAGAACCTTCTCCAGGGACTGCCTCCAAGACTGAACTCAGACCCTCCATGTACCAGGCTCTACATGGAACCGTCTTCATACACACAGAGTGTAGACAGAATCCCGTTTGTGCCAGGGCTCCCACCCAAAAGCACACACATGCACATGTTAGTACAGGAATCACTTCCATCACCCATTGTCATATCCCGAACCGCATGCCACATCTGGGCTGTGGGGCACCATGCATGTCTTTGGGGCCCTCTGGAGAACTGCCCCCAGTCCTTCCTGGACCAGTTGCAGAGCATGAGTACAGTTCGGCCATTGTGAGTCATCAGCGGACTGGGCCCCTGAATGAGCTTCCCAAGTTCGGGAACCCTGGCCAGCCTTCGAGGAGGTTCATACTTTCATGAAACTGGCTCCAGAATCCCTGTTCCCTGCTTTCTTGGAAGGGGGACAGAGTAGATAAGGGCCCCATCTCTCCTGAGTCTTCCCATCCTCCACCTTTTTGCTCCCCTCCGCCCTTGATATCCCAGTGTGGCTTCTTCCATCGGAGCAGCCAGAGCTCATCTTTTCCCACCAACTATCACCGGGCCCATCTGGCTGTGCAGCCCTCGGCTGTGGAAGCCGGGGGCCCAGGGACTGTGGGGTAATTGTGTGTGTGTGCATGTGTGTGTGCGTGTGAGTGTGTATGTATGCGTGTGGTAGAGCCCCCAGCATTCAGGGACCAGGGTGAAGAAATGAGATTGCACGAGGGTGTTGTGAGCTCTAGGAACAGGGGTGGGAGGTCATTATAAGGGTGAGTATCCACAGCCGGAGGCATGCGCAGTGGGTTGGCTGGGCTTATGCAGTGTGAGCATGTGGGAGTGCAGGAAGGTGCTGTGCATGGCTTCTCTTTGGGCATGAGACAAATGTGCAAGGACATGCTGTGCAGTCTGAGCATGTAGGAGCCTCAGGTGGCTCCGAGTGTGAGTGTGCAAGGGGCATATTTCCACCTTGGTATGGAAGGGCCAGCATCTTCATGAGGTAGGGAGGGGCGAGGCCACCCTATTCACGGACCAGAGGGCCCTGCCCCAAGGGAAATGCCATTTGGGTACATGGGATGAGTGTCTGGGGCTTGGGAGGACTCATTCCCAGTAGGCAGGGGTCTAGAAAGCCATCTTTTGGTCTCAGATCTTGTTTATGTTCTGGGGCATGCTGTTGGGTCTCTTAAAAGGCTTGAATGAGGTCAGTGGTCCTGCTGCTCCATCTTCAGCCCCCTCTTCCAGGACCCAAGGCAGAGGTCCTTGGTCCTGCATCTTTGGCCCCTCCTGGTCTTTCTCTGGCCATGCGCGAGGACCTGGGGGCCCGGCATGAATTGTGGCACCTGTGGGGGCCATGCACTGCATGGGACGCTGTCTGCCCCAGCTCCTTCCTGCTGCAGCGGTGGAGGCAAGGTGCTGGGCTGTGCTGGGCATCTGCCCCGGGGGCCTCAGCCCTGTAGGCTCCTCACATCCGGCCTGGGGTCCTTACAGATGGGATTCTTCAAGCGGGCGCGGTACCCCGAGGCCACCGTGCCCCAGTACCACGCGGTGAAGATCCCGCGGGAAGACCGGCAGCAGTTCAAGGAGGAGAAGACAGGCACCATCCTGAGGAACAACTGGGGCAGTCCCCGGCGGGAGGGCCCTGATGCGCACCCCATCCTGGCTGCTGATGGGCACCCTGAGCTGGGCTCCGATGGGCATCCCGTGTCAGGCACCGCCTAACACCCTGTGTCCCAGTCTGGCCCACGGGTCCCCTCCACCCTTTCCCCAGATATGGCTCCTTGGGGTGAAGAGGGTAGAGTGGGTTGTTGGCGTCCCATCAGGATGGGACAGGATCTGCTTCCTCAGGGGCATAGGCATCCCCCCCCCAAAAAGGAGCATCTCCCAGGACTTCCCCTTAGAACACTGTGAGATGAGGGTGATAAGTCAGGAATGGGGTTGTGGGGTAGAAGGAGAAGGACAGTGATGTCCTGATGAAAACGTGGGAGAAGGGACCCTGATCCCTCCCTCTCCCATTCATCCTGTTTAACAGGACCCCAAGGACCTGTCCCCCGGAAAGTGCCTTAAGCCCAGAGGGTTGGGGAGGAGGTTGTGTTGCTGATTCAGGGGCTCTTCCTTCCCTAGTTTTGCCTCTCCTCTGACTTTAGTTTGCTGCATCAACCTAGTGGATTTTGTCTATTTATTAAAAAATATTTGAGGACAAAACTTCTGGCTTCTTTGCTGAGTGTTGCTCTCCCACCTCCAGGGTCTCCAGGAGAGGACTGCTTCTCTGCACCCCCACAGCTCAGGACAAAGGTGGCAGTGGGAGGGAGGGCTGGGGGGGCCAGCAGGACCACATGACTTTTGTGACCAGATCCTGGAGGCACATGGCTGTGGTCTCAAAGAGGAAGGGGACCCTTACTATGGGAACAAGGGAGAGGGACAGGGAACCACCTTAGCAGTGGGTGGGCAAAAATTGGGAGACCCAGTCTAGGAATTTGTCAAGGATATGACAGGATATTGCTTTCCTCCCTGTGGTCAGGTTAGGAATAGAGCTTTTATACTTTGGAAGGAAGGATTGAAATTAGATGCCAGGCAGAGATGGGGGAAGGAAGGAGAGGGGCTAGTGGGGGGAATGGCTTCTGACTAGATCCCTCTCAGGAGAAGACAGGTTAGCCGGTGGGTGGGATTGCTCTGGCTGGAGGCAGGAATCCGGGAAGGGTTATTTCACAGCCTTCCCCATGATGTGGGGCCCAACAGGCAACCACTTGAAGGGAGGGGGCTGGTGTTCCATTTGGAGTTGAGAGAACTGGGCACTCTCGAGGTCCTTCCAAGTCTCTCTGGTGAGGCAGCAGCCATCCCCAATGTGTTTCCAGGTGGGCTCTAAAACTTGCTGCCACAGAAAGGCCCAGCTTCCACGTGGCTCAGCCACATGCTCCCAGAAAAAAAACACTCCTCCCTGGGAGAGAAGAGAAAGTTAGCGTCACTTCTTTGCTCCATTCCACAACCTTCCTCCATCCTCACCTCCACCCCGCTCTTGGTGAAGTGGGGGTTGCTGGTTCCGGGTTTATGAAGCATGTTATTCTGCTTCTGACTCCTCCTGACTCCGCCCTGGCTCCTCCCCTCCCACTCAAAAGCACATGTGAAGAGCTGCCCAGTGGGGGTGACGGGTGAGCCATCTTTAAAGGATGACTGAGGGACAGCCTAGCAGAGGGCAGATGGATGGGGAGCTGGAGAGAGTGGAGCAGAGATCTCACTGTAGATAGATGCTGTCTTCTGAGACTCAGACGCATACATCCAAACTTATCCTTTGGCCAACATCCTAGGGAAAACTTGCACCTGACTCATGACTAATACTGGGGTTCCTTCCGCCCTTCTCTCCTTGCTGAACCCTCTCTAGGTGATCTCATGCACCCCTGTGCTCTGAATTTACAGCTTGTGACTTCCACATCTTTCTCTGACTTCCAACTGCCTCTATGGCTTTCCTGCCTGCCTGTTTCAGTGGCACCTCAGACCTAACAAGTCCCAAATAGGTTTCTCTCATTTCAGCAACTGAGACTTCCCTCTACCCTCCCTCTTTCCCTCCACCAGTCACTCATGCCAGAAACCGGGAAACTGTCCTCAAATCCTTTCTTTACCCAGCCCCAAATCATATGGATTCTATGGACTCTAATATCTCTATCCAGAACCCTTTTTTATTTTCCTCACTTCCCCACATCCTGCTTAATCCCTCAGATCTCACTTTGTTAGGTGTCTCTGCCCCCGGGCCCCCGCAGCTGCTGCTTTAGGTGGCTCTCCTGTGGGCTTCTACAGCACCCTATTCTATCCCTTGGAGGCCCGGTCATGTTCACTGTTGACCAGCAGGTGGCGGTGGATGGGTGTCTCACATGCTAGCACACCAGAGTCCCCATCCCAGAGCGGCCCTGCGGCTGTTGCCTGCCCCACGCCCATTCCCTTTCCACGCTGCTCACCGGCCTCAGCACTCTGTGGACTTCCTGCAGGACCCTCTTCGGACTCTGCACGGAGCACAGCTCCAGGGTGCTGACCACCACATCCATGCAGCCGTCCGCCAGTCCTTTCACGTACTCTCCCGAAGCCACCATAAACTGTTCATACTGGAGGTGCCTGTTCTCCACCATGCTCTTGATCAGGAACTTCTCGAAGTGGGGGTTTGGGTCCAGGCAGGTGATCCTGCAGCCCGCTGGGTAGAACTGGAAGTTGGTCCCAGTGCCTCAGCCCAGCTCCAGCAAGGACACCTTCCCGGAGGCTCCCGCAAGCCCCTTTATCTGGATGAAGAGCTGCTGTTTCTTACTCTCCATCTTGCGGTTTCACTTGGCCGTCAGTGCGGCCATCAGGTAGGGGAAGCACATTTTGCACACGGGCTGCCAGCAGCCCAGGAGAGCCAGCAGGTGCAGGGGCAGCGTCAGAGGCAGCACCAGCAGCTGCAAGAGGCGGACCAGGGCGTCCATGACTCACCAGATTGGAGCCAAGTTCTGCTGGGACACTGGCCTTTTCTCTGTCTCCAGTGCCACAGACGGGAGCCTCTCCCTGTCCTGGGTTGGGATTTTGTTCTCTGTGTCCTACTTGTCAGCTTTCTCTTTGCCAGGGTACAGTGGGTGCATGGAATCCCTCCAGAGGGCACAGGTCCTACAGCCCCATAGTTTTTTGTGGAGTGAAGGGACAGGTGGCATTAGTGCCCTGAGTTCTGGGGCGCTGTGTGTTGAGGGTGGGGGTGTGCTGATCATTTCAGAGAGAAGTGGGAAGGGCAGAAGGGATAGGTCTCAGATCGCAGCTTTGTGGGGGCCAACCCGGGATGGGCCTGACTCATGGGCCTGTGCTGGCCTCATTCTGTCCCCAGAATCTCGTTATGCAAGCTGGGAAGTCTGGTTGGGTTCCCCTGGCACACCCCTAGCATTCTGTAAACTGTAACATGCCTTTGCCCCAGATAGAAGCCAAGCACAGAGGATTCCGAGTAAGGCCAGATTGGTCAGGAGAAGGAGGGAGACTGCAGGTCAAAAGAAAGGCATTTTCTCAGCTGACTGGTGTTTATTATTGCATTCAAGACTGCACTGCCCCAGCAATAGAAGAAAAGAAGGGAGAAAAAGACAGCGTGGGGAAGAAGAATCAGCAGGCCCGGATCCCATTATAACTTGCCGTTGTCTCTTTGGGCAAGTCTTTTTACTTTCTGGGCTCCAGCTTCTCAACTGTAAAATGGGGAGATGAAGACAGATTGGATGGGCCTTCTGTAGTTTCTAAGGGCTCCTCCTGCTTCTGCATTCGTGTGATCTAAGGGGAGTGGGGGAGGACAGGCGGCAGGTGACCCCAGCTCTCCTCACAGCCCAGGATGGTACTCCCAAGACTTTGGTCCCAGGCTGCCACTGAGGCAGGGCAGTCTCAGAGCCCAGACTTTGGGGTCACAGGCATCTTAGCAGAAAGTCCCCAAATGATTAAGCTGTGGCTTCTCTTTTGGCGGAATCGTGGGGGAAGCTCCCCACAGACAATTCCACAGGCTGCCCACCAATTGCCTAGTGGTCAAAGGGAATTTTGTATAGAGAAAAGAAAATCAACAGCTTGGCATTATACAAGAGGGAAATGACAGTAGTCTAAAAGCTCATGAGTAGCATTTCCCAGGGCCACTGATGGCCTCTGGGGGAGGACTGAGTTTAAACAAAGTCTCTGGTGGAGAGGGCTGCTCTGTCAAAGCCCACTGCAGCAGCCCTCCAGTCAAGCCCACCAAGGGGATCTGCTCTGGCCTATGGGGGCCTTAGAGAAGAGCTGTGGGGATAACTATGAACTATTTCAAGAAAGTGTCTTTTCCCACACAGAGCTGCCCGAGCCAGGGGCAGCCCCCGTGCTGCTGCTCAGGAGAGCAGTTTTGTGACCTCCCACAGTCAGACACAGCCTTCTCTGGGCTTAGCTTCTAATGTGACTGTAAGGGAGGCAGCAGTTCTCCATAGCAGGGGTACGAGCTCAGGAAGGAAGTGGCAATGACCCAAGCCTGGTCAGAACACGGTGTGGGCACCCAGCGACCTTCTGCAGTAGTGAAGAGAGGGGAAGCCAGGCCAACTGGGGGCTACCTCTTTCTGGAATGGGTGAGGCGCTCAGTTTAGTGGAGAATGGGGTGAGCTGGAGAGGTGGTGGGAGGTGAAGTCAGAGAGTAGTCACTCCTGACAGGTTTCTTTTTGCTTGTAAAAGAATCATTAAACTCTTTCTTGGAAAAAGTAATACATTCACATGGCACAGAATTTAAGAGGTACAAAGGGATTACAGAGAAAATTCTCTCTTCCACTTTAGTCTCTCAGTGACTCAGATCCTCTCTCCTGAGGCACTAAACATCACAAAGGCAATTTCTTGGAATCTTTCTGGAGATGGAGATGATCTGCGAAATAGCAAATGACACACCCACCGCACATTTAGATGTGTACACACGTGTTTGTCCACATATTCCTCTTTCTTTACACAAATGGTAGCACATTGTCCACACTCTTGAATACCTTGCTTTATTGGGTTTAGCCGATACTGCCCAAGGATCTTCCAAAGTAGCTGTTTTTTTATTTTATTTTTAAATTTATTTGACAGGGAGATAGAGAGCACAAGTAGGCAGAGTGTCAGGCAGAGGGAGAGGGAGAAGCAGGCTCCCCGCTGAGCAGGGAGCCCTATGTGGAGCTTGATCCCAGGACTCTGGCCATCAACATAACTGACTGAGCCACCCAGGAGCCCCCAAAATGGCTATTTCAATTTACACTTCCACTAGTAACATTTAGTGTTATGCATCTTTTATCTATCTATCATCTATCTATCTATCTATCTATCATCTATCATCTATCATCTATTATCTATCATTTAGCTAGCTATCTGCCTACCTATCATCTCTACTCATTCACTCATTTATATTATTATTGACTCACAGATTTCCTATTTTATTCAATGGGTTGTAGTCTTGATGCCCTCTTTAGGTACAGTTTTATTGATGTATAATTATGAACAAGAGAACATACATAGTAACAGTGTATGCTTGATGGATTTTGACATATGAATACATCTGTGAAACCGTTACCACATTCAACACAGTGAACATGTCTACCAACCATGAGCGTTTCCCCACGTCTCTTTGCAATCCATCCTTCCCTCTTTCATCCCCATCTTCAGGCAACTGCTGGTCTGCTCTGTCATTATAGGTTAGTTTGCATTCTCTAGAATTTTATATAAATGGAATTCTATAGTATGTACTCTTATTGTCTGGATTCTTTCTTCCTTCCTTCCTTCCTTATTATTTTTTTTTAAGATTTTATTTATTTATTTGAGAGAGAGAGAGCAAGCGAGAGAGTGCACACACAAGCAGGGGAGCAGTAGGCAGAGGGTGAAGAAGGAGACTCCATCCCATTAAACAATGACTGCCCGTTCACCCCCCACCCCCAGTCCCTGGAAACCACCCTTATAGTTTGTCTTTATGATTCTGACTGCTCTAAGTGCCCCCTATAAACGGAATCATACTGACCTATTTTGCTTAGCCAAATGTCCTCAAGGTTACCCATGTTGTAGCATATTGAAGAATTTCTTCCTTTTTTAAGGCTGAATAATATTTTGTTATATGCATATACCACATTTTGCTTATCCATTCATCTATCAGTGGACATGGGTTGCTTTCATGATTTAGTTACTGTGGATAATACTCATACAGACATGTGTCTACAGGGGTACCTGGGTGGCACAGTGGTTAAGTGTTGGTCTCTTGGTTTTGGCTCAGGCCCTAGTCTCAGGGTTGTAGGATCAAACCCACCTCGGAGTCTGCTTCAGATTCTCTCTGCTCCTCCTGCTCATGCTCTCACTCATTTTCTCTAAAATAAATAAATAAATCTTAACCACCCCCCCCACCCCACGTAGGTGTGCAAATATCTCTTTGAGACCCTGCTTTCAGTTCTTTTGAGTATATTCCTGGAAGTGGAATTGCTGGATTATATCATAATTCTAGGTTTGATTTTTTGAGGAACCACCACACTGTTTTCCACAGCACCCATTAAGAATGACATGGGGTTGGGGCACATGGTGGCTTTGGCTCAGGTCATGATCCTGGAGTCTGGGGATGGAGTCCTGCATCGGGTGTCTGCTTCTCCCTCTGCCCACTTGTGCTCTCTCTCTCTTGCAAATAAATAAATAAAATCTTAAAAAATCCTTGTGTTCAAAAAGTAGTTACACTTAAGATAATTTTACTTCTTCCTTTGCAATTCTGATGACTTTTATTTCTTTTTCTTGCATTGCTTAGGCTAGAATTTCCAGTACTGTGTTAATACAAGTGGTGAAAGCAGGCATTCTTTTCTTATCGATCTCAGAGGAAAATTTTTAGTTTATCACCATGGAGTGTGATGTTTGCTCTGGGTATTTATTAGGGTTATGTGAAATATATTTTAGGGAGAATTGACATACTTTTTTGTCTGAAAGTATGTTATATTTCCTCAATTGTTCATATCTTCTTTTGTCCTGTCAGTAGTATTTCAAAGATATCTTCATGTAGGTACCTAACATTCATCCATTCATTCCTTTCTTTCTTTCTTCTTTTTTAAAAAAATTATTTGACAGAGAGAGACAAAGTGAGAGAGAGAACAGAAGCAGAGGAAGTGGAAGAGGGAGAAGCAGGCTTCCGGCTGAGCAGGGAGCCCAATGTGGGGATCAATCCCAGGACCCTGGGATCACGACTTGAGCCAAAGGCAGACGCTCAAGAACTGAGCCACCCAGGCGCCCCAGATGCCAAACATTTCTTAAGCTTATTTCTAGTTATATAACCTTTTTTTTTTTTTTTAGTAATACAAAAGGAAGTCTCTTCTTTACTTCTATCTTCTAACAGGTTTCCATTTGTATATATATCTCATCATTTTTGTTTCTGAATGTTAGTTTTGTACCTAGTCATTAAATGCTCTTATTGTTTATTATTTTTATTTGATTCTTTTTCAAAAAATGTTTGTTTATTTTAGAGAGAGAGAGAGGGAGAGTGCGAGTGAGGCGAAGGGCAGAGGGAGAGGGAGAGAGAGGAAGAGAAGCAGACTCACTGCTGAGCTGAGCATGGAGCCCCACAAAGAACTCAATCTCAGGACCCTGAGATCAGGACTTGAGCAGAAATCAAGAGTTAGACACTTAACTGACTGAACCACCCAGGGGCCCCTCTTTGGGTTCTCTAAGCATAACATGATCTGTGCCAGTAATAATTATTTACCTCTTCCTTTTCAGTTTTTATATCTTTTATTTCCTTCTTTTGCTTAATTGCTTTATCTAATTCCTTAGAGAAATATTAAATAGTAGTATGGGTACTAAATCTTTTTGTTCCTGAAATTAATGGGACTGCTTCACATGCTTTCCCACAGGCTGTATCTGTTTTCCCTCAGCTTTTCACCCACCCTTTTATTCTTTGCTCTGTATTGCTGGGGTTAAGAGCCGACGTTTACTTGGCTCACCTGCTTGCGGCTTCTTTGTGAGTTCTGCCAGTAATAAG